AAAAAAAAAAAAAGAGTACTGAGAACCCCAGTAATGTTGCTCGGGTAAATATCTCTCAAAGGTTGCCCATCCCTGTTTTACACTATGCTACTGGTGAAAAACACTTTTCATGTCACACTACGTAGGTAATTCAGTAAACTCAGTTTACTGGTTTTACTTACGCAAGGTGACAGGGCAAGCCCTTTCCCCCAGCAGTGCATTCTCTGCTGAGTCCCCCCACCCAATCCAGTACAGCCCTCCCCCCTCCCCGCTCAGCCCTGCTCAGCTGTGCACACAAGATGAGGGCGGACAGGCCACATTCTGAGCTGCTGGGTGAATGCCATGGGTCCTCCAAGTTTTTCCTTTTACATACAAGCCCAGCAGGAGTATCTTGGTGACCGGTGGAAGTGGAGGACGGTGGGGGGAGGGGGGGAGGGTCAACTTTTGCATTTGGGCCCACAAGCTTCAAGCTACACCTCTGGCCTCTAGTATGTGTAGGCAGAGACATTGTGACATTATGAGTTCCTATATCTGAACTGATCTATGTAGTCTGCAAAACACTGCAGTATGTTGATGCTATATGAATACTGAAAATCAATAAATATACAAACAGTCATATGGGAAACATGAAAAGTACCAGGTGACGACCCCATCTATTATGAACATATAAAGTGGCTATTTTATGCACTTTATGTTGCCCGCACTTATGTTAACTAGCCAGTTAGAAAATATTTTTTTTCACCCTGACTACACCAACAATGCACAAAAGCAGCAATAGGTATAGCTATAACAACTAGCAAAGCCAAGTTCATATATCCTTAGGAAGTGGAAATATGGCATTTAGTAAAAATATTGGCCTGCATTTGCTAACCTTCTAAAAATGCTGACTGTCTGGGCTGTGCATCTCTTAAGTACTTCTGAGTCAATGACCCAGAACAAGCAAGCATCTAATGAGTTTTAACTAACTTTTTTAGTTTTTTTTATAAGTGGGAAAAGGTTAGAATCCCTGTCAGGTTTTTATTGCTGTTTGTGTTCCTGTTGTGGTCTCTGTTTGTCCAGGTAATCATTTTTCAGTTGTCACTGGAACATGAGGTTCTAATGGGGACACTTTGTCTGGTGATGGCTGCCTAATTTTGTAGGGGTTTCTTCTCATGTCCTGTTGTCGCTCTGGGACAGTAAGTGAAGGTAAATCTCCCTAAATAGAAAAAAACTGTGAAAAAAACAACTGACGGGTTTTAAGTATTCACTACTCTATTGAAAACTTCAAAAAAGTTTTGGCTTTAGATATTCTTCAAAGGAACTCTATCATTATTTTTAAAAAATGAAAAGATCGCTCTTCAAAAGGAATTCTATAACACTTGACTGTCCTGCTGCCAATGCCACCAAACTCCATTGCATTGAAAAGAGAAACCTCCTGTAAGATTTTACCTGACTTTGTGGTCCCTTCCATCCAGATCATACACATCGCTACTGTGTCCTAGAGTGACATATAGTCTCATCTCCTCTAAAGAAGTACCATGTACAGGTGAAACTCGAAAAATTAGAATATTGTGCAAAAGTTCATTTATTTCAGTAATGCAACTTAAAAGGTGAAACTAATATATGAGATAGACTCATTACATGCAAAGCAAGATAGTTCAAGCCGTGATTTGTCATAATTGTGATGATTATGGCTTACAGCTCATGAAAACCCCAAATCCACAATCTCAGAGAATTAGAATATTGTGAAAAGGAGCAATATTCTAGGTTCAAAGTGTCCCACTCTAATTAGCTAATTAAGCCATAACACCTGCAAAGGGTTCCTGAGCCTTTAAATGGTCTCTCAGTCTGGTTCAGTAGGAATCTCAATCATGGGAAAGACTGCTGACCTGACAGTTGTGCAGAAAAGCATCATTGATACCTTCCATAAGGAGGGAAAGCCTCAAAAGGTAATTGCAAAAGAAGTTGGATGTTCCCAAAGTGCTGTATCAAAGCACATTAAGAGAAAGTTATGTGGAAGGGAAAAGTGTGGAAGAAAAAGGTGCACAAGCAGCAGGGATGACCGCAGCCTGGAGAGGATTGTCAGGAAAAGGCCATTCAAAAGTGTTGGGGACTTTCACAAGGAGTGGACTGAGGCTGGAGTCAGTGCATCAAGAGCCACCACACACAGACGGATCCTGGACATGGGCTTCAAATGTCGTATTCCTCTTGTCAAGCCGCTCCTTAACAACAACCAATGTCAGAAGTGTCTTACCTGAGCTAAAGGAAAACAGACCTGGTCTGTTGCTCAGTGGTCCAAAGTCCTCTTTTCTGATGAGAGCAACTTTTGCATCTCATTTGGAAACCAAGGACCCAGAGTATGGAGGAAGAATGGAGAGGCACACACTGCAAGATGCTTGAAGTCCAGTGTGAAGTTTCCATAGTCTGTGTTGATTTGGGGAGCCATGTCATCTGCTGGTGTTGGTCCATTGTGCTTCATTAAGTCTAGGGTCAACGTAGCCGTTTACCAGGAGATTTTGGAGCACTTCATGTTTCCTTCCGCAGATGAGCTTTATGGGGATGCTGACTTCATTTTCCAGCAGGACTTGGCACCTGCCCACACTGCCAAAAGCACCAAAACCTGGTTCAATGACCGTGGGATTACTGTGTTTGACTGGCCAGCAAACTCGCCTGACCTGAACCCCATAGAGAATCTATGGGGCATTGCCAAGAGAAAGATGAGAGACATGAGACCGAACAATGCAGAAGAGCTGAAGGCCGCTTTTGAAGCATCCTGGTCTTCCATAACACCTCAGCAGCGCTGCAGGCTGATAGCTTCCGTGCCACGCCGCATTGAGGCAGTAATTGCTGCAAAAGGGTCCCAAACCAAGTACTGAGCACATATGCATGTTATACTTTTTAGAGGTCCAATATTGTTCTATGTACATTCCTTGTTTTATTGATTGCATGTAATATTCTAATTTTCTGAGATTGTGGATTTGGGGTTTTCATGAGCTGTAAGCCATAATCATCACAATTATGACAAATCACGGCTTGAACTATCTTGCTTTGCATGTAATGAGTCTATCTCATATATTAGTTTCACCTTTTAAGTTGCATTACTCAATTTTAATAATCTAATAATCTATAATCTTGTGTGCAATAAACTTTTATATTCATACTGCACTTAGTCTGGCTCACTTCTCTTTCTTCTCCATTACTCAAATAAATGAACTTTTGCATGATATTCTAATTTTTCGAGTTTCACCTGTATATGGTACATTAACATCAAATTATTTCTTAAAGCGGAACTTCACCCAAAAAGGGAAAGTCTGCTTTTCCTCCCCCTTCCCTTCTTCTCTGCCATGTTTGGAGTATTATTTGGTTGGGGGGGAGAGCAGGTACCTGATTTTGATAGGTCCCCACTCCCACTTCTGCTCCGGCTGTCTAGGCAAACAGAGTCAAAGTTCTTTTCTCCCCTCTTTCCCCCGCAGTCTCTTAGGACATGTCAGAGGTCCCAGGTGACGGTGGAACCAATCATGGGGCGCAGTACAGCTCGCTAATGAGCAGTGGGCAGCTGACTGTGAAGCTGCAAGGAGTTTTTGACAGCCCATTAATTTAAAAAGTACAGCAAGTCCGACTTTTAAAATGACGCCACACCAAACCACATGATATTACAGTACCATGTGTTTTGGTGGTTGCAAATAAACACATGATTGCTAGATGCATGTAGGTGCTATTAAAGTGGTTCTAAAGCCCTAAACATTTTTTACCTTAATGCATACCATGCATTAAGGTAAAAAATGATTAGGCCATTTTATCGCCCCCCTGACCCCCCCTTAAACTTACATGAGTCCTCACTGTCCAGCACTGTGTCCTTCTGTATTAGCTCTCTACCCTCTCCCGGCTATCACTGCTGTCAGTCCAATCCTGTGGCAAAAGAGCCTCGGGGGTATGGCTGTGCCACGCTGTGTCTATGGATGCAGACAGCGAAGCTCGCAATTGATCCTGCAGGTGTGCCACCATAGGTAGAGGCTTCCTATGATGGCATACCAAGAAGAAGAGGAGCCAGGAGCGGGGGACCCCAGAAGAGGTGGATAAGGGTAGCTCTGTGAAATTGCATAGAACAGGTTTTTTTTTCTTTATTGCATAGAGCAGGTAAGTATAGTATGCTTGTTATTAAAGCGGTAGTAAATTACATCAAAAACTAAAAAAGAAACAAAAAAATCCTGCAAGGTAAAGGCATAATGTGCTAGTATGCATTGCATGCTAGCACATTATGAAGGACTTACCTTGAAACAAAGCCCTCCAGCGGAGCTCTGTAACAGCTCCCCAGGGCTTTCATCTTTGCCTGGTCTTCCTTCCGGGTTCGTGAGCTCTGGCTGGCTGAATGGCCAAGCTGCGATGACGCCATTCCTGCGCATGCACACGGGAGTCCCGGGCCATGGCACAGTGCTCTGAAGCAACGGCACAGGTATGCTGTTCCTTCAGAGCGCATGCACTGAATATCAAAAGGGGTTATTATCTTAGACCATGGGTGTTAAACTGGCATCCCTCCAGCTATTGCCAAACTACAAGACCCATAAAGGCATTGCAAACTGACAATTACAAGCATGACTCCCAGAGGCATGATAGGACTTGTAGTTTTGCAACAGCTGGGGGGCCACCAGTTTGACACCCCTGTCTTAGGCGGTTCACATTTAGGAGATATTAATTTTACCTACAGGTAAGCTTTATCATAAGCTTACCTGCAGGTAAAATTATTAACCTCCCTGGAGGTATTCCCGAGTGTAGCTCGGGGTAAAGTTTCAGTACCACAAGCGGTAACCCCGAGCTACACTCGGGCTTTCCATGCAGCGCTGCTCCGCGATCCCTCGATCACTTACCTTGTCCTGCGCTCCCGCGATGTCCCTCCTGCAGTGTCCCCGGCAATGTCCTCTGGCAGAAGCCGGCATCTGTCTTCTGGGTTCCGTCCCCTGCGAGCATCGAGACGTACGGGGGACAGAACGGCGGGCAATTTGAAAATGACAAAAAGTGACATTCACTAAATACACTAAAATCACATAGTAAAACATTACTGTATCAAACCATTTCACATACATTTTGTCCCGAGTGCTTTGTCCTGTGCCCTGCCTACATTTTTAATGTTCTTTCTGCCTGGAAACTGAGAAACGTCCATGGCATCCAAAAAGCGCCCCTTTAGGTCAAATGTGGTTTTAGACCAGCTAGATAACAGCGATAGTAAATCAGAACCACTTGCAGAATTGAGTGATGATTCGTGGGGAAATTCGTCATCAGACACTGAAAACGATTTTGCGACTTTGCTCAGTGATGTGCGAACTTGACGCTATATTTCAAATTTCAGTGTTTTTGGTTTGATTATATTATTGAATTAAATTATTATATTATTATTTTTTATGATTATTTATTAACTTCCCTGGCAGTATGATTATTTCAGATTTTTGGTGCTGAAAGCAGTACCATTATTTTGCATGGAAATTTGGCGTTTTATATTGTAGGCCTGTAATTCTTAGTAATAACTCACTGAAATCTGTCCTAACAAGAGTCTAGTAAACATCCCGGGTATGAAAAAAATTGAAACACAAAATCATAAATTAAAATTTAATAAATAATCATAAAAAATAATAATATAATAATAATAAATTTATTTATTTAACTGCATTTAGCCACATCAAGCAATTTGGTGTTAATCCATTGCACTAGCCACAAATATTATATTCTGGCCATTGAAGTGAATTCATGGTCATGTGTTAAATGCACCCAGTGTAAACGTTTAGACACATTTACAAGCGTTTTTTTCTGCTCTTGGACTCACTGGTAGTGTTTTTTCCTGCCTCTAAATTCTCCTGCCACTAAACTCCTCTAAGGGCCAGTTCACACTACATGCGTTTCAGTTGCTTTTTTTCTGCATCCAGAACACACAGAAAGTAGGTTATATGGTTGTCAATGTCATCATTCACATCAGTGCCTGCAGTTCCAGTGCTTTCCAGTTGCAAAAAAAAAAATAATAGAACATTCTGCATTTTTTTCTGTACAGAACTGCACTGGAACGTGCCAAAATGCATCAAAAACGCACTGAGACGTACTGAAATGCACCAAAAATGCACTGGAATGCACATGTCCCTATTTAAATTAAAGAAAAAGAGAGGGGAAAAAAATTAACTGGAATGCATAAAGAATGCACTGGAACACATCAAAAATGCACCGGAATGTGTCAAAAAAGCGCATGCGGAAACGCATCCGGAAAGCATCTGGACTGCGTTTCTATAGTGTGAACCGGCTCTAAACGTTTATGTGTCCATGGACACATAGGCTAACATACAAGGGGGGTTATAGGCGGAAAAAAATATGCTAAACTCCCCAAGAACCAGCTGTAAAAACGTCCAGTGTGCTTGAGTTGTGCTGCAGTAATTATCTGCTAATAAGAAGCATGGTGATAGGATAAATAGGCCCCTAGGTCTACTGTAATTTATTGCTACAGTAAGTCATACATAACAACATATCTGTCTTTTTTTTCAGTGTCCAGCAACATTCATCATGAGTGGCATCAAGTACATGTTGGGAGTGCTGATTCTGGCTTTATGTGTCAGTGAGAGTCTTTCACAGGTTACTGTGCAGAGTGAGTACATCATATTCTCTTCACAAACTAATACTTTTACATAATAATTTATTTTTGTGTAATAAAAAGTTGTTTTGAAGGCATCATTGGAAACCCAGGTGACAAAGTGTCATGTGGCTATGAGTGTATGTCTAGGCATTACCCAAATTTACTACCAAACCTCCCTCTCCCCTTCTAGAGCATGTCTCAGCATTCATTTTTCTTTTACTTTGTTGATGTAGCGACAAACGGCTTATATTAATCACTGCTGGGAACTTAGGCTGGCCATACACTATACAATTTTCTGTCCAATTTCTGCCCGATTTACTTTAGCTTTACCTTCAACTATGTAGCGCAAGGGCCTGCCTAATTGGATACAATTGAAAGTGTTGGTTAGGTTTGACTTCCTATTACATGGTTTTTGGTAAATCTAAAGCAAAAATCTCAAGAAAATTGTATAATGTATGGCCAGCCTTAGTTCCTATTGATTTAGGCACATCTCCAGAACTACATCTCCCAAAAGCCCCACATACACATTGTGTGTGAATAGGTTCTTAAAGAGACTGTATTTATATATTAAAAAAAACAACATTATTAATACTTTTTTCACCTTTTTTTTTTAATAAGTGATCATATACCCTCTGTTCTCGGCTGCAGAAGAGTTAGGGAAAAAGAAACAGCAGACACTGGTCTTTCCAATGAATGGCTGTGTGTGGGGGGGTGCCTGTCAGGAAAAGTCTGATTCAGGGACGGACTGACCATTTGGAAACTCGGGCACTGCCCAAGGGCCCAGGGTCAGTAGGGGACCCCATGAGATGTCCCTGGTACCTGTTTCATAGGCTTTTTTGAGTTTGGGCAAGGACACAGGGGCCCCATGATCCCCTATTGCCTGGGGGGCCCATGAGTTGTCAGTCCACCCCTGGTCTGATCATTGGAGCACAGCCGGCTGAGTTCCCAGCACAACTAGAGAACTGATGGTGTGTTCTCCTGCTTAGTGTGGTCAGTTTTTATTAGGAAAGCTGTGAGACTGGCAGGAACACCAGAGATTTTACACAAAGGAAACAATACAAAGAAAACAGGATACTTTTTTTTTATACAAGTACATGTTACAGCAGGCACGCCTACCAGCGTCACAAACCCCTTAAAGGCGCCAAGGGGTAAGGTATCTCTCATCCTGATTGATGCTGGGTCTACATGGCTAAACTATGTAATTGACAACAGATTTACATTGTGCAACAATGTTATGTTTTTAAAAGGACTGTTACTGTGGTTTCTGTGAGTTTTTTAATAGTCCATCCCCACATCCAGCATCTTGCCCCTTAAACCCTCTCCATATGTTTACATTGATTTCTTTTAACACAAAACAATGCTGCTGGTCTGACTCTTAAAGAATATGTAAACCCAACATTTCATATTCCTGATGAGTCAGACCAGCAGCATTGTTTTGTCCTTGTTTTGTTTTGTCCTTTTAAAAACATAACATTGTTGCACAATGTAAATCTGCTGTCAATTACATAGTTTAGCCATGTAGACCCAGCATCAATCAGGATGAGAGATACCTTACCCCTTGGCGCCTTTAAGGGGTTTGTGACGCTGGTAGGTGGAGCGGGGTTTAGGGTCATGTGACCTCCATGATTGACAGTCACATGATTGCAAATCTCCCATCCGCAAATAGAGATAGGGACCTTTCCGTGTTTGCTCTCGGCACATCTTTTGTTTGCATTGGATACGCAAATATGCGTAGTTAACAATCTTCGTACATGCAGTGATTACCTTCTCCTGCCCAGCTGCTACTCCCATTGCAAATATCAGCTACTTCCTAATGTCATTGATGATACATGATAACATTTTATTTGCTTTGATTCGTGTTGCACATGGCAGTGCCCAGCTATATTCCCTCCCCCCCCATTTTACATGCAAAATGGCCTTGAAAAAGCCTGGAACAAAAATGACAAGATTCAGCTCCCTTCAATGAGGTTTGGGGCGGTATGTTCAGGGAATGTGATTTCTCACTGGCAAATGTATAGCGAACTGAACTTTGTCAATTCACTCATCTCTAGTCACTACAAAAGTACTAAAAGTTATCTTCAACACCGTTTCAAACTTTTTTTGGGAGTTTGAATCTGATTGGTGATTGTGCAACCAGCAACATGGTAGAAACTACATTGAAAAGGAAACTCACCAACCCATTTAGTATATCAGGAGCTCTCTAGAAATGTCTGCAGTGGAATATATGTAAATATTCTGAGTTTAGCACATTTTCAAACGTAACTGCTTACGTATTGTCTGGGTATGCTAATTTATGTTATGTGAATGAGTAAATATTCTTTAAGTGATATTTAATACTACTGCAGTTAGGTCATTGGTTCAAAATTAGACTGCAGATAAAAAGACAAATTATTTTTTGAGTTTTGGATAGAATGAGAAAGGATTGGACACTCTGTCAAGTTTTTTATTGCTGTCTGTATCACCTTTCTGTTTGTGGTAGTACCCATTGTTATTGAGGCTGACAGTTAGGGAAATTCAGATATCTGAGTTGTCACCAGAGCAAGAGGCAGGGGCAAACATCCAATGGGAACAAATGTTCTTGTGACTGCTGTTTTAGGGGGATTTTCTTCACTGGAGGTTTCTTCTCTTTTCCTGTTGTACATATATATATATTTATTTATTTATTTTCGGTTATGCATATTCAAGTAAACTAATCCTTTTTTTCTCTTTCTTTTTCAGATTTTACCTCCTGTAAGTATATGATGTGCTACATTGACAAAAAATATTATTCTTAATCACACTATACATAAGAATCCAAGGAAATGTACTAATCACCATGAGCACCAGATTCCTACATGAAGAAGAACATTTTTTATGATGTAAAACAAACCCTCAATAAATGCTAGACTTATGAATTAGGAACAGTGGGATTCAGCTAGTTATTATGGAACTAAACCCTCCTATCCTCCAAGTACAGCATCCTCGTAGGCTGTGCTTGGATCCATAGTTTCCATGGTGCTTGCACACGTGACCAGCTATACCCACCAGCCATCTGAGTCCTTGAAAGATCCATTACAAGCTGATTAATTGTGATAACTGGCAACTGTGACAGTTGTCTCTAAAAGCATGCCTTAAATGTAGCAAATACTGCGCATATGCTAGGAGACAAAACAAAAAATGAAAACACTGTAAAAACACAACATTGATATATTTGATTTATAGTGGTATTAACCACTTGCCTACTGGGCACTTTTACCCCCTTTGTGCCCAGGCCAATTCTCAGCTTTCAGCGCTGTTGCACTTTGAATGACAATTGTGCGGTCATGCAACACTGTACCCATATGAAATTTTTATAATTTTTTCACACAAATAGAGCAGAGCACTGGTTACAGCTAGTAGGAGGAGTTTTCATTTTGCTCTAGGAGAGTGGTCTCCAAACTTTCAAAACAATGGGCCATTTTACTGTCCCTTAGACTTTAGGGGGGCGGCGAACTA